TATTACCTAGCTAAAATCCTATTAGTAAGGATATCAAAACAGGGAATGAAAATCTTTTCTTGAAGACAGAACTTTGTTTTCTTCTAGATGGTCCGTTTATATCTCATTAAGAAATAAATATTCATAATTTTAAACTTATTTTAAAAAGGCTTAAAATGTGTTCTTTTATCTTAAATGTATTTGTACATGCATTTGATCCAAGAAGTAGCACGCAGGAACGATAGTAGGTCTTTCATTTCATTGAAGAGGCTTTCCACTTTGGATTAATTCTTCAAGTAGCCAGAGAGACCAGTGCTGGTGATGCATTTATGTGAGTGTCAAGTGTAAGAGCAATGTCTTGACTGAAGCGTGAAAGTTCTCATCTGTGAGGTTTATTTGTAGAATTGTAATTTTTCTATAGTATTTGCAAAAATTGACTTTCAGTCAGTTAAAATTGATACTATTAATATCTTTGTTGCAGTGTTTATCTCTCACACCTTATCTAGATTTTCAACAATAACATTCTGTTTCCCATTGTGTAACTCCTGTGCTTGACCACTGTTTTCTTTCTGTTGCTTCTGCATCGGTGTGCAATGTTTCTCTACAATTGTGTCCCCAAGAAGATAATCTGAAATTTCTGGTCAATGTCAATGAAATTACAACTGCCAAGAAAAATCTATAGCCAGATGCTGTGCGTTAAACTTAGGCAGCAGTTAAACTCCATACAACCATTTACTCACTTCACCCATCAGTGGGATAGACAGAGAATCCGATGGGCAAAATTAAAAATGGGTTGAGATAAAGACAGTTTCACATGCAAACTTGATGGTGCATATGAAAACAAAAAAATTAATTCACTGCTTCCCATCAGCAGGCACATATTTAGCCCTTTCCAGGAAAGCAAGGCATTACATACAATGGCTACTTAGGAAGACAAATGCCTAACTCAGAACACACATCTTTCATCTTGGTTTACCCCCATTTTTATTGACAAACACAATTATATTTCATGTAGGATTTCTCTTTGGTGATCTGTCCCAGTAGTGTTCTCTATTAATGTCTTGTGTACCCCTATACAAATACCTGGTGGAGCAATGACCTCAAAACCCTGAACACTGCTTCCCTGTAAGTAAAACATTGGTGTGTTATCAACAGTGTTTCAGTTCTAAATCTAAAACCAAGTATCATAGAAGTTGCCATACAAAACAAAAAACTTCAACTTCAGAAAAAAGCCTAACTTCTGATTTTGAATAAATATTGCCTATTATAAAAAAGCCCTACAACCATCAAAACAAAAAGGAACCAAACTTAGACTATCCCAAATATCACTAGGAATATTGTTTCCTATACCTACATTAAATAGAAGTCTGTATTTTAGCTCTTTTTTATGTAAGTAGAGAGAGAGATCTACTTCAACATGCTGATATGCTGCTCAGATGCCTACTGCTTACATAAGACTTACTCTGCAGCCTTATTCTACCACGTGGCTGAATGTATTTCTCCCTCTAGCCTAAAGTATGTAGGTTTGGGCCTCAATCTGTCATTCCAGTTTTCTGCATGGTGCTGTAAATTGGGTAAGAGTTCTCTAAATCTGCAAGGGACTAAGCTTTAAATGAAACAATCAAAGAAAAATAAAAATAAGTATTTGATGAAAACTGAATAGGAAACTTTTGTGGAAAAAACAGAATGGAAGGAATTCAAACAGGAGGTGTGAATGTGTGAAATGCTTGCAAAATAGTCTTAGGAAGTGTGGACTAGTGAGAGGCTGTTGCATTCATAAAAATTGCATGTGTATGAAACAGAAGCACATGGTTTTGTTGTTGCCAGTGAAAGATGGCTGTTTTGCCACATCTGTATTCAGCGATGTACTCAACATCAGTCACTGTTTCTGGTGGTTTCGGTGTGCTTAATTTGAAGTATCACAATGCCTGAAATAGATGTTTTGCAGTGGCAGTGCAAGCTGGTTGGTTTGGATTTAGTGTCAGTGATGATGCTGATGTGGCCTGTGAACTTAAAAATCCTACCTGGAGTTTCTATATGATGTTTTGTTTTCTTTTACTGCATAGATGATTTTCTGTGTGTTTGTAAATTGACCACTACAGTAGAATGCTGGGCTTATACAACTCCTTTAGATTTAAGAGCAAACTGGATTTTTGAAGATTAGAAGTATAGAAATTAAGATGTGTTTTCAAATAATTTCTTTCAAAGAAGAAAATCTGATATTCTGTTGTCTTGTTTTATGTATGAGAGAAGGAAAAGCAGACAGTTTTGACTTTAAAGATTTACATTCTATATCCAATAAGGCTATTAAATATACAATGAAGTACTTTTATTGGCAAAGAAAGGTTGTTTGCATGTTCCAGCTACAATAATTAAGACTTCTGCTGATAGAAGCAAGCTGAATGCATTTTGGGTTCAAAAGCATCCTATTTATAGTCTAGATGCAAAATGATCTCTATTCAGTACAATGTATCATTTGCAGGTTATCATTCTGCTTTCCTCTGAAAGCTAGTCAGCAGATGTTTCCTTCTATCTTGACTCATTGCTTTAGTGATAGAAAAACATTTTGCATCTTAATATGGTACTGTTCATAAGCATATTTGGATGACAGAACCAATTTGTTGAAAACACAGGACAGTATAAAGAGAAAATTCTCTTCAATATTAGTATAGTTATGATATTCAAATACTTTAGATTTTGAATCAAATAACTTTTCAAACAGTTGCAGTACCACTGCATTAAAAGATCTTCCTTGAGAGAAAGGGGGGAGAAAATTAACCAAATAAAATGTAGTAAAAAAGTAAGCTAAAATTAAATTTTAAAAATACAATAAATTTTTGCCATTTACTATGGCCTCACACCCCATCAGTGTTTTATTTCCCCATGCAAAGTGACAAAATTATCAGTCTTTTAAACTTCTGAAACTGCTTTAAAGATATTCTTTGACAGTGAAAGAAATATTGATACCATTTGGTGTCTTCTGTGGACATTTTGCCAATTTGATCCAGTGCTGTTGAAGTTTCGTTATCTGAAGCTGTCATATTTCAAAGTTTCAAAATCCAAAGCTATTTCATAGAATTCAGCAATTCTATGGGCAAGATACAATTTTTTTTTCACATTAAGTGTTGTGGAAGAGGGAGTGATTTATCACTGGTATCTTGGCTTACACATCAGCAAATTTGTTGGTTATTTTCCTCAAAATTCCAAAGTCTGTGAAAAATCATTTCAGTCAACCTCATTCTGCTTATAAAACTGGTTAAGAGGCGGTGGGGGGGAAAGGGCATGTTTGCATCTGAAGTAAAAAAAGATACAGCAATTTCGAAAAATATTTTTTTCCTTTTCCTTTTTTGACCAGTGATGGGTATAATGTTCTTCAGGGATCACTAGGTACAGATACAGTTGTTAATGAACTCTTCTGGGCACTGGTTAATGAATAATTTATTTTCATACATTCCTTATCATTATTTTTTTCAGTACTTAGTATATTCCATTACCAATACCTCCCTTCTGTCCCACTTCTGTCTGCACAGACTGGGAAAAGCAGGCAATGGGTAAATTTATAGATGGAAATCACTTATTACTTTAGAATCAGATCTGACCCATTTGGAGAGATACTAATGAACAATAAAGATTCTGTGAATTTTAGAATTTGGTCCAAGTAATTGGATAATATAGAAAAGATGTAAATGTTATTTTGTTTGAAAGTCTGTAGCTATTGCTTTGCTTTGAGATAGGTTAATTTCACATCTCAACAGCATTTCTGAACAGTAATGATCTTGAAGTACGTGGCATCTTTTTTCTGTGTTAATCATGTATTAGAACTTTTGTTAAAACTCCATTAACTTAGAAGTTATTAAGCCATACACAGCCAAATATTTTTGTCAATACTCATTTTCACACTTTATTATGGTCCATGCTAGACGCACAGAACAGGAAAATCCAAAGAAGTCAATGCTGACATTAAAGGGTACCATCTAAAGCCACTCAGATAGTTAAAGAAACCCTTACATAACACAGCTCTAAACCACCTTGCACAGACTATGCAAAAAAGGTTCAAGTCAAAGGCAGTCTGCAATGCAGTAATTGTAAAATCCACAGAAGTCAGTGGAAAAACATTTATAGGCCTCTGTAAGGATACCAAGGCTTCACATTTACACTGTTATCACCATCTTCAAGTTGAAATTAGGCCAAGAACAATACAGGTTCTTAGAAATCACCTTAGTGTTAATGTCTTGCACATCCTTCCAGCACAGAGAATTCTATATTAACATATACTTAATACTAATTGCTAATAGACTGTATTCCCTTACAAAGTAATCTTGGAGACAGAGCCTGCCTTCTTTCAAAACAAGCAGACAGAGCAAGACTTGTTTTCTTTGAATAGATTGCCACGCCATGCCCCTTGTAGCTTGCCTTGATACATCTGGTGTGTTTATTAATCTACAACTTTTCCAACGTGTTTAAAAACTCTACCATAGTATTTGGATAGTAGCTTCACAGACTCACATTTGCACTCACTGCATGTGCAGTGCATAACAGAAATCAGTCAAAACTCATGACAGCTTGTGACAGTTTCAGGGACTGAATTCTGACAAGTGACTTTGGATTTACCCCAGAAGCTGCCAAATCTGCAGAAATTAAAAATGTACAATTTACCTCATACGTGTGGATATTTTACCCTCTTTGAGTTGCACCTATGAATGGAGTGGAATCTATTTTCTCAGTGTAGTGATACATTTCTAAAGCACAAAGGGGAACTCCAGAGGCATGTAAAGTGTGGTAATTTCAATTAAACTCATGAAATGATGAGAAATTATGGCAAAGGGTTTGCCTGTGCTGGCTCAAAGCTTGCTGCTGAAGATGATATATATTTGCTAACCTAAGAATGCATTTTCCACTGTCCAGCAGCTAGTTAAGAAGATTAATGACTGCTTTGTAGTTTCAATTAAACTCCTTTATCACCAAGAGGGACCAAACAAGTTTTGATTTCAAAAGTACTGCTTAAGAAAGAAGACCAGGGCTGCATAACACTGACATTTTATTAGAATTCATCTGTAACAAATGGAACTTGTGTCAGCAAAGAACTGATTTTCATACAGACTTCCTTTTGCCACCAATGTAACGAAGTAAGAAAATAAAAAGCACGCCTTTCATTCTGTAAAACATTTATGCGTACTACTAATTAGAGGTAATTGTATCTTTTTTAACAAGCCATTTTACAAGGTAAATTTTTAAAGTTTTTCAGTCTATGCATCCAAAACAAGAGCAAAGAACACAAGTTTTTATTATCTTTGTAAAGACACTCCAAGCTTGAATGGCAAAGCCACATAACGGATGGTTATAATGAGACCTGCAGCCTTCTGATATCTGTGGAGTATCAGGGCACCAAGGGGAAAAAAAATAAAAAAAAAAAAAAGAAGAAAAAGAAACATAAATAAAAATGGGAGAGAATAAAAGGAAAAAAAAACCAGTTGCTTTTTTATACATGTTCTGTGTCTTTTAAATACATACAAGTGGATTTTGTAGGCAATTTCTTACAGATGGGTTCAAATTATTATTGGGTGTAGAATCAATAGGGCAGTGCATAGTACAAAGGTATATATAGAAAGTGCAAATCTCCTTAGAAGGTCACTCCTTTCCCCAGCCATCTTCTCCACTATCTAACCACTCAAATAAATTTTTAAAAAAGAGCTAAATTAAAGTTTTGTATAAATCATTTTTATATATTTTGTGTTTTTTTCCCCATTGCAACTAATTACAAAATTAGACATAACTACACATAGAAACGTAAATAATAGCACCGTACTGGTTATGCTGATGAAACCAATTTTAAGCTTGGAAATGTATGATGTATGTAGACAAAAATGCTCACAATTTAAATTAACTGTAGATGCATATATTAGAATACAGAAAGTGGAATGCACATCAATGATGCTAAGACCTATCATAAGAAACAAAACCCTGAAAGAAGTACTCAGTTGTACAACAGTTTTTCTCACAAATTGGCTCTGCTTTTTTGTATTTCTTTTACTCCTTTATTTTTGTTGGAGTTTTCAAGACAGTCTGCTATGGAAAATGCACTGATCTTTGTACAGATTTAGTGTGCAGGAACGTACCTTAGTCTATGTTTTTGAAATGACACTTTTTTTTCTATTTCTGATTTTCTGTATTTTAGTTGAAGAATATGACCACAATATATAACCTGGCATTTCAATAATTATTTCAACATATAAACCAAGAAAGAAGAAAATAAACAAACACAGTGCACATTCTTCTCTGGTTCAGATGTAAATTATAGAATCTCATTCTGAGGTAGCCTTCTATAATACTTCTATTCCATATATATATATATATATATAGAGAGAGAGAGAGAGAGAGAGAGAGAGAGAGAGAGAGAGTTATATTTCTGTTTTGATTTTTTTTGGTTTGGGTTTTTTTCATTACAAAAGTGCTCAAATACAATTGCTGGAGTTTGGTCTTTCTTATTTTTATTTCTCATAGGAGTGGGAAAATTGGAAGAAGAACTAAAAATGTTGAGGCCACATGGAGAAGCCACAGCAATGCTCCTATTTGAAAGCCCAAAGAAAGCATCCTTTGATCCTGATGTACTAACAACGGCAGAACACATGGTGACCAAGGTCAATGTAAATGGCATTCTAGAAAGAGTCTCAAAAAGTACTTTGTGCTGTTTAGAGAATTTTCCTTTTTCCTGGAATAAAATCTGTCAATCTCCAATATGTCATGTGGGCTCAGGCTTGCTAGCCTTGCATAAACCTATGAACCTTCCCACTGAAAGCAAGGGTTTGACTTTAGCAATCTGTTGACACAAGTGAATGAGTAGGACTTGGCCAGATATAAATTTGAAAAAAAATAAAAAAGAAACAGAAAAAGGAAAAAAAAAAAAAAAAAAAGAAGATGCAGAAGCACTGCTGATGTCAACTACTGCTACTCTGCTGCTGCAGCTTGGCAGTGACAGATAACACTAAAACCAGTGACAAAGTGGGTTTGAAAAGCCAACCAGAAATAGATTTCCAACTTGTAGGTTATTCTCTTATTAGAAATATGGAAAGATAAAGGGCCTTGACTACCTATGTGTTTTGGGTTATCATTTATTACCATCCATACTTGATTAGAAACTGGAAATGCATATTTTTCAAAATTGTCTGGTACATGTATTAAAATGTTTGAAAAGAACAACAGAGATATAAACGAACTAAACTAAATACAAATGAAGGCTAACTTAAAGAAATACTATTCAAAATAGGCATCAAATATAAGGCACTCTAAATGTAAAATTAAAATAAACCCCAGCATCCCCAAACAATGCTATATGCCACAAAATGTTTGATTTCACAGAGCAATGTGTGTTTGGCTTTGCCCTGTTACATACGATAAATGTAAATTATATAGCGCACACTATAGACAGTATACTATTGAATACAATTTTAAAACATCTTAATACCTAGTATATTACAACATTCTCCCCTCCTAAAGGGATATGCACTGACCTTTCCCACATGCACACCTCCTACATTTAATAATATGATTTCTTATTGCACTATAGTGTTACAAATATTGAACTTCACTTGAAGCCTAAATCACATACTCTGTGTGCGTGTGTGCATGTGTGTGCTCTGTATGTGTGCATATGTGTGTGTGTTCAAGTGGAAATGTGGATAGAAATATTATTTGGGATAGAAATGGCATTCAAATATCAATGATGTGCATTCCTCACTTCCCTTTGAAACAGAAGTTTATGGATCTTAAAAATGCAGGGATGATCAAATTGTAGTTTGATATAATTGTAGTATGTGGAAAAACTTTCCCAATGCATTCATAAATCCAGGTATGTAAGGATTGCTATGTTTATGTGCATGTGTGTGAAACTGCATCTGAATCCATCTGTATTCTCTGCAACTATACAGAGTCAAAAAAGGGTAGACAGTAATACATATATATATATATATAAAAGAGAGGGTGTGAGTGTGCATGTGCATATGTGTGCGTGTGTGTGTATGTGCTAGCAGCATCTTTATACTTTGCGCCTCCCTGTTGATTCCAAAATAAACCAAAAGCCCCATTTTGATGTAACTGATTACAATGAATATTTTCTTAAAGGAAAAAAACCCAAATAAAGCTACAAAATTCATATCTAACAAGACTGTGGTACTGTAGGACTGCACAAAAATGTGCAAATTTTCAAAGTATCTAACATTTCTACAGCACAATATTACAGATAACAGTTCTACAGCTTAAAAAAAAATCTACAGTTTTAAACCAAAATATTAACAGTTATGCAACCTTTTCTTTAATTCACTTCATTGAATGATAAACTCTTGTTAAAAAAAGGAAAAAGTTTACACAGTTAAAAATGAAGCACAGGTCAGCAGTATCTTTACAATACTAAAAAACTAAGTCAAGGACTTTCTTTTTAAACATTCCCACATTTTCCCTTAAGTGTTATGATGAGCAGTATTATGGGAAACGGTGATGTTGAAGTAAAGAGTCTGCTTTGTTTGAGAAGCCAGAACCCAACCTTGCCACAAACATCTTGCACTGAACTGCAGTTCTCAAAACTCCTCTTTGCAAAATAATGTAATCCTGAATAAGATGATCACTCTTTCTGATTAAATTTCCTCTTCCCTTTAACTTCAACCAATGTCGAACCCTTGAGGTATCTGTAAATGAGATCCTTCAGACGCCTCAGTGGTCAGGATTCTTTTATTATGGTTAGGTTATTAAACTGTGAATTCTTGGTCCACATGGAATACTTCTTGTTGGGTGGGGTTTTTTTTTGTTGTTTTTTTGTTTTATATATCCCCAATACTTTGTTCATTTGTTTTTTTTTTTTTATTATTTTTTATTTTATATATCCCCAATAATTGCTCCTTAGCTAAGAGTTAAGAAGTACTTCTAAAGCACATTGTATGGCTCAGAAGCGGCTCTCTGGATCTTAAAGGGCCTGCAATAAAAATCCACAATGGGTTTTTATGTTGCATAGTGATCAAAGCTGCCCAGATACTCCAGTGCGGCTCGATAGCAGAACTGGTATTGATCCTAGAGAAAGAAAAATAGAAAACAAATGCATCAAAAAGTCAGCTTGTTGGTTGGTTTCTACTTTCTTTCAAATACTAGTGAATATTTTGTAGCTACAGACAAATATACTGCAGAGGCATCTGCAGTTCAGCAGTATTCACTTGCTGACACCAACAGAAAATCATTCTGAGTTACAACAGATGAAGACAGACACTCATTTAATGCAACAACATTTTCCACAGAATGCAGATTCATTTTGTGCAGAGACTATATACCCACCTACTGAGAGTCTGTTATTCTGGATTAAAACAATATCAACATAAAGCTTTCTTCTGATAGGAACATGCTAGGATGCTTTCTCCCCACATATTTGAAAATAAGTAGCAAAATAAACAATTAATTCTACAGCCAATACAACACACTAAGTAAAAAAAGTCCATCACAGCTTGAATATGGAATTCTGTATGGAAAACCATCGGATTAAAAATTATGTAAAGAAGGCAAAGGGAATCCCAACCTTTCAGTAATAAAGGCTTTGATGAAGATGTGAATATACCTAGGCCTGTGGCAAGAAAAGGACCTAAGGAGATAAATGGTGCTAAAGGACCTTATTCACATAAAACAGACTACATTTCAACCTATACATAGAAGTTTAGTGTGGTGAGAAATTTTCTTATACCTCAGATGAATCCAACATTTGTAATTTTGTGTTATTCTCACCTCTATAAAGCCTTCCTTTTGCACATTTACGCTATGTTGAACACTTACACTAAAATGGCACATCTACGTATTTATTTCTATCTGCCATTCTTGGTTTAAATGGTAAAAAGTAAAAAATAAAATAAAAAAACCCCATAAAATAAATTGCTCAAAAATACCAGGGATGCCTTTTTATTTTTCTGATAGTGCTATGTGGTAACTGCATAGGTTGCAGTTAAGATCACAATTAAAATTCTTTCGGAGGCCAGGAAGCTAATCAGATATTTGCTTCACTGAGGTGGTATGATTACTCATAGTTCATTTCTGTTAGTTGGAATAATTAGAAAAGTGGCAGAATACATTACACATATGTCTGAATTTTAAGTGTATGTGTGGTCCACATGGAAGTTCTTTGTTTAATAAGGATTAGGTTTCCTGGCAGTTTATAACACTGAATGAGAGATTTGTTTGCCACAGAATCCTGGAAGAAATGTGTACAGAACACCTTTGCTTTCAGCAGTGGGGATGAAGGGTAGCATACAGAAATAAGTCAAAGCAGGGGGAGGGAGCATATATTGCAGAATTGAACTCTTCATTTGTCAGGTGGGCTCAAAGAAGCATAGTTTTCTGTATACTTTAGTTATTTCTTTGAGCGAAAATGACAGAAAGCAGTCATTTTTCATTTTGCTTATCCAGAAGAATGATGGTAATGGAAAAGAAATGGAATTAACTCTCCAGTATGGTCACAGTGATTTACTTGGCTGACTGACAAGATTAAAAATAAATATCTGTATTTTTCTTATAAGCTTTTATGAAGTCTTCTTAGAAGTAAAACTACCTAGCTTCTACTGAACAAGTTTAATTTTTTTGTGGAAAATAGCAAACTCTCGGGAACCATCTTAAATTTCATGGACTTGATTTAAAGGCCAGTGTCAATCAAATTATACTAAATAAATGTGTGATCTAAAATGTTTCCTCGCTCTTGCCCTTTTTGTTGGTTCTCCTAACTTATTGACTCTTGCTTAGTCCAGGTCTTCTGCTCAGAAATTAAGGCAAAAATCAAGCACATTAACTGATAATGTTTAAGCATTCTTTATGACATGACAGATTTCCAAGCACACAGGCCCAGGTAACTGGTCTATACACCTTATAACTTTCTTTATTTTTCTATGCTACACTTAATAGCATAGAAATTATTTACACTATAGTTATCCTGAATTTACCACTATGATATTCAGGCCAAAGAGCCATTTGCTTAGTGATATAAAAAAACATGAAAATAATACAGTGTCAGTCTGCAGACAAAATCAAGACATTGCTCCCAGGGGAAAAAAAAAAGTCAGTGGATCCACCTGCAGACACAATTTGCCTGCTTCTTTAATACCACATGTTTCTGACAGGGAACAAGGATGAAATAAAAATGTGTGATGATTCACAAATGGATTTTCTTAACTACCATAATTTAGGATCCACTATGGAAATGATTTCTTTTTCTTCCTCACCTTGCAGTAACTACTGCAATAACAGGAAACTGTCCTTGCAATACCTTCATGGCAGATTTTACCCTGTAGTCACAGGGCCAATATATGGCTTCAGATATAACTGTAAACATGTTTTACACAGTCTCTAACTGTGCATATTTTTGCTTGTCTAAATACCACTTCTTTTCCATCACCATTGCATAAGGATACTGTTTTGCTCACCTCTGTCTGTACCATGGCTGGCCGCTGTGTCCTTAACATTTTGACAGTCTGGAAGATGTCTACAACACCTTCATATCTCATTCTTTCTAACACAATGCTCAGGGTTATGAATACTCCAGTCCTTCCAACACCCGCACTGTTGAAGAAAATGAAGATAATATAAAAGGAAAACCCAAATGTTAATTGACAGTTAATGCTGAAAGAATTGGCTGACAAATTCTTTGTGGTTACAACACACCATATGTGTATAAATTTCTATATGGAGAAAGGCTCACTAAGCAAAATTCCACAGCAAATTACCACATTGCATTCTAAAGAATAACAGCACTCAAGCTAACCTTACATGTACTGAGTGTATCCAGACTCTCAAGCCTTGCCTGCAAAGTGATGTAGTTTGTTCATCCAGATATACAATAATGAGTGCATGGTGAAGGCAAATATTAACATTTGTTGCCAATAACCAACAATGATACTGACACAAGAAAATGAAGCCAAAATGCATTTTACTGCTTGCTTTACTTTAGTTTGTCATGTATATGCCCTGTTTTGTGCATCTTCACTGTGTTATTTTACCTTCTACTTCAAGTTAGAAGTATGGATGTTCATTTAATATTGAACTTGTTCATACATCCTCCAATTCAAATAATGGACAGAGAAAAATCTCAATTCAGGTCTTATTCAAGTCTGGCAGTTTGGATCTTTACTTTTACCATGTTTGTCTATATTCGTCTCAAAAATCTTTGAGTATATATGTGGTTTGTTTGCTCTCTGTTCTGTCCTGGGTTTCTGCTATTAGCTTTAACCCTCAAGAAGTGATGGAAATTCTACACCATCAGTAAAACCAATAGCTATCAGCTTTTAAAATTAAACAATCACTTATTCATGAGGATTATCTTTTGCAGAAGAGACAGGTAACTACACAGAAAACTTTCTAAGTCTGAACTTCTGTGGATGGAAACCAAGCACCTCGTCATCTCACTGTTGATGTAATAATATCACAAGGTTTTCTCTAGCCAAATAACCTTGGAAAGCTGAATATTTATGAGACCTATTCACCAGACAGATGAATGGAACAGCATGAACAACAGGGAAATCCTGAATGACTCTTGAATGTTCATATGAACTATGACAGAAACCAGCAAATTCATAAAACTAATGTGGAAATTGAATGTTCAATTTGTATGAGGGTATTTTAGTGTTTGGTCTAGGTCAGAGCTCTTCTAGGGCTATTAGACATATGCAATTAATTTATCAATTTTGCATGGACTGTGGGCCTTCAGATTGCTGAAGCCAAAGGACAACTGACACAGCACTTGACAGAATATCATGTTGTCAGTGGTGATTTACCTATATGGTGTAACAACAGTCCTGGACATCTGAAGCAGTTGTAGTGTAAGGTACCTGATGAGGTAAATTAGACAGCTAGTACTTAAGAAACATCCTGAAAAATCCTGGAAACTGCTTGTTGGAATGAGCTTGAACAGAGCTGATGACCATATTGTGATCTAAACTAAGTGACACACTGACCTTAGTGTGATCTAAGTAGCGCAGAAAATGACCAGAAGAATGGAAGCAGACTACCATTTCACATTCTCCTGCTCTGCCATTTGAATATTAAAAAAAAAAAAATCTAAATGTGTGAGTGGGTTTCTGACATCATACATTAGAGAAATCTTTGTTACTTTTAAGAAATTACTCAGAAATCTCAAGCAAAAGGAAGAAATTTATTTGTTGTCTTGGGTACTTAAAAATCAGTGTCTCCAGGAGAGACTTAATGAGGAAGAGAGACTAATATGGAAACATCTCAATGCTTGCAAATCCTAATTCAAGTGTAATGTCTTGAGAAAAGCCTGTAGGAAATTGATCCTGTTCCTCTTAAAGTGGCAAACATACTTTAACATTGGAACAATTCTTGTCCAAAAATGCTTAGGATTTCTAGAGTAAAGAAATCCTTCATGATGCATTATGACTCCCTGTGGTTTGTAATTTAGATTAGAAACTAAAGTTGAGATGCTTTAATGAACTATGTGGATGTCTTGATTTTTTTCAAAGAGAGAAGAGTTTATTATTACAAATATATCTTGACCGCATTCTGGAAAAGGTCTTCCTCAGTCTTGAGGTAAAACCTGGAATAAAAAGACTATAAATATCTAATATTGATTTAAGTGAAAAGTTTGCTTCAAGATGAATAGCCCATTGCTTCTTAAATAGTTTTAAGTATCTACCTCATGAGGCTAGAAATTTTTAAATTCAATACACTGACGTATTTGTAAAATTGCTTTTGAAAAAAAAAATTAGAATTGTGGGTTGTGAATGTTTACTGTGTAACAGATAAAACAAGTGAAAATTGTATAGAGTGTAAAGAAGACCCAAAGGAAGGGACACTAGAGGAGTTTTAATTCACTGTAAAACTCATCATGGTACAAACTGGAGGCATTATTTCAATAATCCCTCAGAGACTAGGAAAGCATAGGTATCCAGGATCTTGTGTTTTTTCCTGAAAGAAATAAACAAATGTACTAATTTGCTAGGGACACTTCCTATTCATTTAAGTTGACTAACACTGGCAATGATGATTAGCATTACCAGCCCCTAAATAGTCATTACAATAATGATAAAGACATTTAAAAACCAAGCCATGATTAGTTACACTGCATTTGACTTTGTTTCTAGCAAAGTCAATGATAAAAGTCCATAATTTTACTATGAAAGATCACATCCATTTGAGAGGGATATATAATGTCCTGTAAGCAGTATTCACTGTAGTCACAAGTGGACAAATCTACATGGTACAAAGAACCTAGAAGAAAAATACCACTTTGCTTTCTTATCGGTATAAAGGCATAAATATTGCTTATAACTCCTGTCCTCTCAAAACTCATTAATGTTGAAGAATAAGGCTTATTCTTATCTGGGTTGTTCTTCATCTCCCTTGTGTAATGAATCCCAATCAGTGCTCTGCAATGCTATTCTCCTTAGCAGCCTATAAAAAATTTTAGGCACACAAGAAAAGTAGGATTCAAGTATTCCAATGCATTTATTTTGTCTGTCTTTCAGATTACAGGATCATAAAGAACTCAACTTCTGTTTACCCGACATTGGAAAGATGAAAATTTCTCTCCCTCTGTTTACTAGGCTCTAGTAAACTCATTCATTTTTCTTCATGATAGTATTGGGGCACTACTTGGCTTTTTGTAAGGACTTGCAACTTGTGTCAGTATTTTGCGTCTCTGTTATATAAATAATAACATTTAATCTACAAAAATAATTTCATATTACAAAAATGAGTATCTAAAATCCTAATGGCATTTATAGAAAACAATTTATTAAATAAGAGATAAGAGATAAAGATATTATTTTTGGCCATCTGCTATAAACTCTAGGATATTGCAGAAGAAATAAATAAAAAATACAAGAATATTAAAAAGCCCATGCTGGATTATTTCAAACCACCATGCAAGCCATTTTCATCTGCATATCAATTGAAAAGGAATTGAGGGTAGTCATCACATCAAAAATGAACATTAAGTTCTGAAGCTAGAACTCATCAACTCAAACATCAATGATTTCTTTGACAGACAAAATTTCTAAACACCACTTCCTATCCCATTCCCTTTTTTGAGATAACTACCTTTTTTTTTTTTTGCCTCATCTTGATTGCTACTAATGAGCCACCGAGGTGTAACTAGCTTGTTTGCAGCTAATAATTCCCACCAAAGTAAAAGCCTCACTTTTAATTTCTAGTTAAAAAAATATCAGATGTAGCAGTCTGTGATAAGGCTCTTCTTGTGCCTTCTGTTTGCAGTACTGACTGCTTTTATGCTCTATTAGAGGCATTTATAAGTGAAAAAATCATGTTTCCACATATTTCTGAAGAATTATTTCTGTATAAATGGAATGTCACAGAACAGTCCCCATTTCGTAAAGCAGTTCATGCTGTTCCATTTTAGATCCTCTGATTACATTATATAACAGTTCACCTATGAAATGTGTGTTTAAATAACACACATTCACCACAATCAGCAATCAACTTTAGAAAAAAACCAAATCTGCATATAATTTGTTTTTAAGCTTTGTTTACTTACCTGCAATGAACAGAAATTGGTCCATCCTGACCAAATTGCTCTTTTGTTTTATGTACTTGGCCTATGAAATCAATAAATCCTTCTCCAGACTTTGGCACTCCTTGTTCTGGCCAGTCAGTGAACTGGAACTGCCTCACTGTTCGGGACTGACCATCCTTTAATAAAAGACACAAATGAAGCATCATTGCTGTGGCTTGAAATTGGTCAGCAAATAATCATAAAGACAATCACAAAGTAAGGATGTTGAGAGGAGCTGGGGAATGGCTCAGATTGCATTTATGGAAACTCTTTCAACTGCAGTACTACTATCAAAATTTTTGTATCAGCCCAGAACTATTATTAGGAGTTCCATTGACAATATGGCATGGATTCTCATTCACACTACATAGGAGAGTTGTCTGGCATTCTGCTAGTGTAAAAAGTGTGACTGAGGCCAAAGGTATAACAGACATATGCAGCTGAATATATATAATATTCATATATAATTGAATATACCCCACCAAGGTATACCACTTTCTTGGTATGTTATGATTTGAATCCTGTGGACTACAAATTCCTTTACATACAGATCAGGTAGAATAAGGTCATCTAATCTGACTTTCTATTTCTGAGATATGCTCAACTACTTCACAGGAGAAATATCTTTACTGATAAGACTTGTTTAGTCATTGCCCTCCTTGCAGATGTTATCTTCAATAGTAAGCTGTTTTCTATAAGGTGAACATTTTTCCTGGAAGAAGATGGATAAACAAGCCAGTCGTTTAACAAATTTCCCTTCAGTAATGGTTCATTTAATTCACTAACATCTTGGAGTTAGTTAAAATTGAGAGGAAGGGCTTCCTTTCTCTAAACAAGCCTATTGAAATGTCTCAATTCCTGTGGTTAGGAACACAAACAGTATTTTTTTAAAGTGTAGAATACAGCATCATAGTTATTTTTATAATGAAGATATTGGAATTACTAAGTGCCAACTTGTGCTATCTGCCTATTTAACATGTAAAAAGTCATGACACAGAAAAATGTAATACAAATGAATAAAGCAAATTTGTTCTGCATTTTCAAACATTGATGATTTTTACACTGTCAATCTGCACAACTGTAATGTTCAAAATCATGGCAATATGAGTTACTGATGTTAACTAGTGCCTCTAGACATCATGTTTTCTAAGCACCTACCTTGTCATGTCTTCAAAATGGTCTTCTATTAAGTGAAACTCATGAAAAATTGAACTTTCTTCTAAGTAAAACTCATGAAAAATTGACATTATTACTGGAGATTCCCATCAAAAAGCAGCAAGTTATGCCAGAGGCAAGAACAATCTTTGTCTCTTTTTCTTTAGACCACAAGCATTCAGCTGTTACAGACCTTTGAAATTATATAGAAGTGATTTTAAATATAACCAAAGGAAACCCTAATAATTTCCTCAGGTTCTGTGGGATTTTGCCTCCTGTGTCTCAGATGAGTGAGGAAAACAGAAAAAAATGTGTGTGTGTGCCAGCAACTACTCCATGAGAGGACACCCATCCTGTGTACTTCCACTAGACCACTGTGACAATTTAGTGGCCTGTATCTGTAAAAACCTTTTCTCCAACAAATATGTAAAGTTTTCACCCAATTGGATTTCTTGTGGTCATCAACACAAAGAACTAAATGTTTACTTCCAAAATGGTATTTTGTTAATACAAACATCTCTGATAATGGTTTCTGTAATCCCATTTTTCCTCCGAAAAAACATAATGATATTGCATCATCCAGATAGACTTAGGCAGATGATATAAATTTATCAAGAAGACATAAGTACAGGTTCATTCCCTTCAAAATAACTTTCCATTCTTTTAAAGTAATGAAAGAAAACCTGAAATCTGACTTGCAACATGCTGTTAAGGAGATGGAAAGCCTTCAGCAATTTCTGACCCTGATAGGACTTACACTAAATAACAGTAACTTTTTCCATGTAGAATAAGTAAGGAAGACACTAATCTATTTAAGTCCAGTCTGTCTGGACTGGAAATTTAACACATTTCTCTGTCATAAATAGATCTAATGGTAAATATTTATTTTTTGGTGTGTATGTATCAACTTTATTAGTATGTTTCATTATTTCAGTAACTCAGTATTCCAATGCAAGTCTGTGAAATGACAATAACCTCTGTTATTTAATGAGCAGAGAATTAAAGTTACTTAGTCTATGTTAGACTAGCATTACAGCATCTTGGGAACTGATCTGCAATTTCTTACAGCTCCCTCTGCTACTGACATTATAAAGTGTTGATTTCTTTTAATGAGATTCTTGCCAACAGCAGTCCAGATACAAATGCCAAATTTTATTAAAATCTTTACTTTCAAATACTGTGACAGTTTGCACCATTAGTTATCAAAATGAGTGCTTTCAGATCCCTGTGTGGCACAGTGGGCTTTTAATGTTTTATCCTATTTAGTGGCCAACCGTTTGGATTTATTCTTCCTCCTCACAGGGGATATTCAATTGTCTTTTGATTACACTTTAGAATTGATAATACTCTCTTACAGCCATCATTAATAGTTTAGCCTTAAATAAGACTGGCCCAATATACGAACCTCTTGAGTTTCCAGAGAGAGTACAAAACAGTTAGAAGCAATAACTTGAAACAGTAACAGAGGTCAATTTCACCTAACAACAACTCACAGTTCAGTTTCAGAAATAAAAGAGAGTTCCACACCAGACACTTGTTGCTGGTGCCTACACAGGTACAGTGCCTCGTTTTTTGTCCCTGTGGAATGACTCGTTATCCTCACTCTGCCAGAGTATGGATGGTATTGTAACAGTACAGATGGATTTGGAGGCGAAAGGGAGAGAGGACATTTGCAATCACTTCAGCATTTAGTCTTCTTTGAGTGCAACAATTTAGTCAAACTATTTCAATTACTGGGTGTGGCAGCCACAAAAGCCTAACTAGAAGAAAACTATAATGTATCTTTCTGTAAGTATTTCCCACTTCTTCTAGTAAATTTGAAAGGAGTTATGGTTTTCCAGCATAACTAGAAAATTTAGGATGGTGCTGTCAGCTCGCTAAGGAGTTTAACAAAATTTGGACCATCAAGATAAACAGATTTTTAATATTTGAGAAGCAACATCATGTGATAGTACAGTGTTATATCAGGACTTCCAATGTGCTTAATGCTTTCCAAAAGATGTTTATTAATATCACATCAAATAAAATTAGTTCTGGTAAATTAATTATTTAATTATTTTCCCCTTTACTGGTTTGACAGCTGTAGGTAAGCAGACTTTCTTAAATATTCTACTTCAGTACAAAGGCTTGAAAGGACTTTTCTTAAAATATACAATATTTGAGGATACTTTGGTTATAGCTATGGCTTTTTGTTATAACTGTAATTTTGTGATCAGAGCTTTGTGTACTATGACACATGATATCTCTTCCAACCTGAGACAGATTTTTAATAGAAAATCAATTAAAACTATCAGGATATTTGCAGTGAAATTGGATTTAACTATCTTTGCTTGCATGTGGGTCTAAAGACTGGTGCTAGGAGCCTGTTCTCCACTTTTCTTAAGCACAAATAGGCTAGAGAAGATAATGAGTCTACTTGATTCTTACTACATTTCAAATGTGTCTACAGAGCCTTTACAAAAATCTACACCTGAATCTCATTTGCCAAACAAAAGGTTCATATGATGACTTGATACAATACTATCCAGTTTTACTTGAAGTTCACATTAAAAGCAGTGGTCTAGCTAACCATGAGGAAATCTAATATTTCAGATGCTGACAGGCAGCTCTGAGTAGCCACTCATATTATTCCTGGACATTACATCCTGCTATTTTGCTTGAACTAGTATTATTCCACAGTGTCTACAGAAAAGGAGGCTGACAGTATGTTTTCCTGCCACACAGACTACAGTGTTAAAAATCAAGTCTGAGAAATGCCAAATATATATTAAAAGTTTATGTATGTTTAATCTTATATGAGTATTCAGTTTTGGACTCAGGAATTCAGATAAGGAATGAAGTATGAAAATGAGGATGCTAAGGTCACAGCTGCATGTATCTACTCTGCAGATATACTAGAGAGCTAAAAATATGCTACATGAAAAATCAAATTATAATGTGCAAAGCTTGTCCAGCTTTTCTTATGAATGTCATTTGCTCTGCAGTTTTAAAATCTCAGAAAATTAACCTTCATACTCACTCAGCCTAAAGGGTGGTGCAAAACAACAAAACAACACTCTATGTTGCAAAAATTGTACCCAATAATGGTCAAGGGGAAAATGAGAAAAATGAGTAAAGAGTCCTCAAATAATCTAATGTATTTTGGCACAAATAGTTCGGAACTATAAAACTGTGCTGCCCAGATGCTAGAGCTGAATAAAGTCAATCATTCCTATGGAAAGATCCTATTTATTTAAAAATAACTTCATCTGATTTCTTATTATTGCTTGTAGAAAATATATCTCTAGAGTTTTCTTAATAATAATAAAAATTCTAAAACCCCCAAACATAGAAAAAAGAAAGACATAGACATTTTCTTTTAAACTTGTGGGAACAAATGTAATGCTATATTGACTTACCCTTGCATCTGTAACCTTGAATTCCCTCAGAATATACTGTGGCATGTTGTACTCTGCCATTGGATCTACCACAAAATACTGATATCTGGCTGAGCGCTCTGCAGGCCAGTACTGATGGCATTTTTCCTATGAAATAACAAAGTAAATTACATTTTCTATTACTTGAGAGCACTACCATAAACTGGTATAAAGCCTTTTTTATTCAGCTAAATATAATATTCGTGGAAAGTGCCAATAGTGACAGGAATGTGGGCTGCTTGTGTTGGTGAAGAGTAAAATGTTGCCTTATATCTGAACTTGCTTATACTTCTGCTCAGTTTTGTCTATCAGTGACAAGAGCTAGCCTTAATCTAATTTTCAATGGTGAATTTTTATCTCAGTTTAAATCTTGATACCACATTCAGTTTTCTTCCTTTTTGCTTGTTGGAGCAAGTCCCCCAGCCTCAGTCACAACTCTATCTCAGCATCCACTAGCCATGTCCTGAATAATCTCTTTTCCATCAGACACATGGCCTAACTCAGATTTCACTCATCATATGTCATCTTTCTCTTGATGTAATCCTGTCCGGAAAGTAGACTGCTTTGTTCCTTCCAGGAGACAGAGTACCAATGAAATGAGTTTAGAACTGTAAACTGGGGGATGAAAATTTAATGTACAGCACAGAACACAAAGAAGACATTTAGACCTAAAAAATACCACACTTTCTTTTAACATTTTTACAAGGAGATGCTGCAAAAGTGAAGTTTTCTTTTTCAGTAGACAGCAATGGTCTCTCTTGCTGAATCTCAGTGTGTCCCACAAAAACACATCATGTTTAGTTTGTCCATTGCAACACATCAACAGATTGGAAAAACTTACACCAGGAAGGCCACTCCTATTTCAAAAGGAGAAGGAACCAAAATCCTCATCTTTAGATATTCCTAAGAATGAAATATTTTAATGAAAAGAGCTGTTGTAACCAGCATTTTAGTAAAGGAATATTAGAGCAGTACTTACTCTGCCCATTTCTCGTAGTTTAGTGAGCATGACCACAATTGTAGAGTTATGTTCCCAGAGCATTCTCCAGAAGTCTTCAGTTGTTTCTGCTAAAGGACCCTGTGTAGCTATGTAAGCTTTTTGTTGTCTATGTAAAAAAAAAAGTAGATTAACAGTATTATTTTAAGCAAAAAAGTGGATTTATACTCATGTTCTTTGCTTATATAAAAACATTATATAGAGAGAAAATGTATATACTGTTAATAATGAGCACATTAAAACCTTATTATGATTGTTTAATCAAACTATGGCTTTTTATTTTTAGAACTTTGAGAGGAAAATTACTCTGTTACTATTATGATGTATGACTTTATCATTATTATTTAAATTTTAATGCAACCCTAATTGCTCAATTTTGTGTGCTGTAAAAAGCACTTAAGAAACACTTAGTTGTGCTGGTTCATTTTATAGAAATAACTGTCTAACAATCTATTAAGTTTAGGAATTATAGCATTGAGCAGTTTCTTTATTAACTTCATTTCAACAGTCTGATGCCTCCAGCAAAAGTAAGGCAGGAAGAAAATTTGGGAATTGAGTGTGAATTTCTAGGTCCTAATATTCTACTAGGGAAAGATACCACCAAAATGTTAAAAGATTGGATCAACAGCTTTATAAGATGATGAACAGTTTGTGTTACTTTCGCATCTTTCAAGCAACAGCAATACCTTTGAGGGTGATAGTGGAGATGAAGTTTATTTTTAATTATGAGCTGAGGCTCAGAAAATTCACTCTGTGGATATAGATACTTAGGCACACCTACACTATGGAAAGATAGGCAAGTGATGCCATTTCCCTTTCATGTCTTTTTCAACCAGCTGCTTTAAGTCAGCTGAGGGCGTATTGCTCCATGTTGTCATGAAGATGCCAGTGGGCTGCACATCTGTTTATATACCAAAGTCTTTTGGTGGCTAGGTCAAGTCCTAGGCAGTGTTCCAAAGCCATAGGTTATCACCTTGACACACAGCGTGTATCTCCTGTACCTTATTTCTATATTTCTATATTTTATTTCTATATTCTAATAATTTCTTATTTCTATATTTCTTATTTATATATTTTAAGCAGAAAAACTGTGAAGAAACAGGGGTCCAAATCATGATCATGCTTAAATCTCATTAACTTTCAGCATGTAAAGCATACTAAGAGCTCTCAGTGACTTAAACACAGGTAAAAATATAATATTTAAGATTCTATGTGATTTACAAATTTGTTTTCTATTACACGGGGAAAAATATAAACCCTTTACTAAAATTGTAAAAAACACCCAATCAAACAAGCTCTGAACAGACAAAAAAATTACTAGATTTCAATACTAAGTTTTGTTATTTTCAATATAATTACATAAACAATTTAGAAAACTTTTATGTTAAGATAAGTAAGGAAAAGATCCCATCACTGTTTGTACCTGTATCCATCAATGAAACTGGCATTAATATAATCAGAGCCTTCTACTCCTCGGATAGGCTGCAAGCATACCCTTGTGGATTCATATGGCATAATGTTGACAAGGCGATTTTTGAATTTATTACATGGAAGATTGGCACTGATGAATCTTGAAGTGTGAGCCTTAGAGCTAGCAAGACGCTGTTGAAAACAAATTAAAAGAATTAAGGCCAGGTATAAAAAAGATAAGAGATGCTATCAGGTTTTATAATCTCTTCTCAGTAGCCATTAATGAATAATTTCAACTTCAGATGCTCACTTTTCCATATTCTATTGCATTACTCAAATATCTGTAAAGCTTCTTTAATACCTTTTACAAGTACAATGTCTGCTTTATTAGTGCATTTGGACAAATTCCAGTATTAAACCACTATACAAACATGTATTTCAAGATACAATAACAATAAAGGAACATCATGGTTAAATCACCCTTAACTGAATGGCTCTTGTCCAGACACCCACTGAGAATGGAACTGTACTATTTAGAAAGAATTATCTTGATTTAAAATTTTAGTCTAATGGTGTCTTTTATTGTTTGATTACTGGAAACAAGTGGTGGAGAACAGAGCAGCTTCAGTGTTACATCATTTTGTTTTGGTTACCCACAGCATAAAATCCCAGTACCTTAAACTCCAGTTCCATTCCTGTGACATTCTCGCCTGTTTCTATCTGTGTCAGCTTCTGGATATATGCATACAGGTTTCTGGCTGGCACTTCGGTATTTCCACATGTCACTGCTTCCAGTAGTGCATCATGGATAAAGATGTATTGGTCCTCAGTTTGAACCATGTAATTCCTCTGTGCTCTCATTAGAGTTACATGGCCATAAATATCTACAGTCTTTTCATGCTTTATTCTCTCTAACATGGCATCTATCACAATGAAACAGCCAGTCCTGCCGACTCCAGCACTGAAAGAAATGAACACAGGAGAGATAACATGGACTGTTTCATTCACTGTGCTTATTTTTACATCATCCAAGATTTAAAGTTTTGTAATGCTGATTTAAACAGCACATGTTTCGGAATACGAGCATCAGTTTCTACAAAAAAGGTCGGTGCCCTGAAATAAGTAAACACCTTAAATATCCATTAAAAGCAATTGAGAACACAGAACGTTTTTGTATGATATCTTTGCATGTTGCAGTTTCAGGTTTGACATAACAGAATTAAAAAACCTTGCAACATATTCTCAAGAGGTTTATTCTTAAAAATGGAAATTACTGGAGAGGATGAATCCTCTAAGAATTCAAGCTTTATTTGTAGCATGATTTCTAAGTAATTAAACATACTGTTGCTGCTATTCTCTTTACAGAGGTAAATTTATTGGCAAACAATAATCAAACAGAAAATGAGTCTTACATATCTCTATGACACTTTGCTGGTAAATGTTCCACCCATATCCCAACCCCATTGATGGGGCTTCTATTAACACAGTTTGTTCTGTCCTCTGCTGTTTCACTTGGCTAGGACATGCTGCTAGTCTTTGCAATGTAGACCCGTGACTAGATAGCTGTGCTAGCTGTAGGCTGGGGAAAATCAAACTGTTTGTATACCAACTGTAGTGAACCAAACCAGACCATCTTTTTGCATGATTGAACTTTATGAAGTTTTGTTCCATGTAGCTAAAATAAGTTAAACATGTAACTAAACTAAGCTAAAATGTAAAATGTGATGGGATTTGTACATCATTTTTCTGTCCAAGATCACTTCATATCTGCAAGAATGACTGACAGTCCCAGGCTTTCTAAATACCTAATGTTTTTCAGTTAGTGACTGAAAATAAAATACATAGTATATTAAGCAACAGTTTATAAATCCTCAAGACATTGAGATTAGCTAAATTAAGAGTATTTAAGAACCCCATAAACTGCAATCTTTTGAGTATAAATAGAAAGAAACAAAAATAATTATAACTGAGCTTCTAGAGGACAACTGTATAAAAGCCAAAACTTCTCACAGTTTCTATATTTTCCAGAGATTAAATATCTTAAATCCATCCTGAACTCACTAGGCAAGGTCAAACATTTATTTTTTGCATTTATTTCTTCTTTCTTATTTCTTAAGATTCTTTGCCAATTACCAGCAAACTGAATTTCCTTATAACAAAATCAGAAGGAAGTATAGAAGAGAACGCTATTTTATCTAACATAAAGCAAGATTTCTTTCTAAGACAGCAGATTTACATATTGTTAATCACATGTTCTTGCCTGGATTGCTCCTTCAAGCAGCAGATCCCCTTCAAACAGCTGAGGATTTCTGCTAATAGACCAAATGCATCAATCTCAACTTTCTTAGATGCCACTCTGACAATAATTAACCCGTATTCTGAGTTAAAGAAAAATTACCTCTCACTGATATTCATTGGTGGGAATTGTAGAGAAGGAAAAAAAAAGAAACAAAATTATGGTTATCCTAACTAAATAGTTCATTTGCCTTGTATAATAAAAGCACTGCATTTCAGGAAAACCTGACACTAATATTGCTAAAAATCATGGAGAAAACCTCAAAAAGCTGTTTTACTACTGTGATTTTCTTTGGGTTTTTTTTGTTCTTGTCATGGAAATCAACAGAAATAGTGTCACTATAGGACATGTGAAAACATGACGCAAGTGCTGCTATTGCAAAGGTGAAAAAGAAGAAGTTCATTTTCTGACTCCAGCATTTATACTTTTCCAAAGGTGACAGTGGATTGGAGGGTGAACGTGCCACCTGTCCAACAACATTGGACAAACTACTAGTACATCAAATTTCTCCACCTCAGTGAAGGAATGCAAAACAATAGGTTGTTTATAGAAAGTTGTGTGAGAAAGTCCTCACAAGAATGTGAACTCAGAAGGCTTTAGAAAATCTTAAGAATAAGGGCAACAGAAGTAGCACACATTTGTATGTGAGATTGGTTTAAATAATATTTTAAACCATTCCTTCAATAATTACTCTTGACATTCAGTTTTTATCAGTTTAATAAGAGTGGGCCAAGTTAGAAATATGTAAGTTTGGCAGGGCAGATTTTATCAGTAATCTAGAATATGGTTCTTTTTCCTATAACATATTAAATTGCTGGTCCAACATCATGTTTATAACTGGATATGCTATTTTTCAGATTGAACATCAAAAAGGTCACTGGTACCCACAGACCAGAACTGGAAAATCCCAAGTCATTTAAAAGCTTGCACCTTCACCTGGAATGAGCAATTTTCAGTTCTTCTTTTCATGTCTTTTATTATGATTTATATATTTATTTTTTCCATGGGCAAACTCAAAGAGTAATAGCTATTAGCATACTCTAGCACAGAAGATATTTGCTGGTCTACAGGATTATACAGAAGTTGTGAAGATCATGAAAGCAGATCATTATTATGCACTCATTTCATGATAAGGATGAAGGGGCTGAAACACTACATTTATGGAGGAATTTTGGATCCTGACACAAATCTCTCTGGACCATTCTATCTAGAGAGATACATTATTCTTTTAAGATGTTCACTATGTTCTAGTTCTTCCCAAAATAAATGAGATGTGTGTCTACCAAACTACTCTTTTAACTTTCCATGTTGAAATGGAACCAGTGGTATTAAGATTTTAACTTAACTCTTCTTTGAAATGTACCCTTCCTGCTCCCAATACCTTCTAACTCCAAATGACAATAGGTTATTATATAAACAAAACTATCCTATCCTAATTTTTTATCCCATTTCTCCTTTTCTTCTTTTACACAGCCTTCTTAATATGGGAAACCATACAGTTTGAATCCTCACTAATAAGCCACTGAAATATAAAAAAAATATCCCTGTCTTTCATCTGCTAGCCATGATATTTCAACTAATAGAATAATTTCACAAATAATTTCTACTTTTGTTATTGACTTTCTTGCCCTTTTCGTTTGCATCTTCTGATGTTGCTGTTAAACTTAGAATTTTCATTTCAGTTAGTGAAAGAACTATTTCATTTTCTATCTGAAAACCTAGATATCAATTAAATATACATGCTGTCGTGGTTTGACACGGGAAAAGAATTTTCTTGGAATGAAGGGGTCAGTCCAGTCAGGGGTCAGGTTTGGATACTGACACTTGGGGTGACCAATTGAAGGTGGAGACGCCTCTGAGAACACAGAGGGGTTTAAAGCAGAATTCCCAGGAGAACTCGCTCTCTTTGGTTCCGGTCATTGGAGGGTGCAGACCTCCCCTGCCCAGCCATGAGCTGGGTGGGCGAGGGGAGCCGTGTGGCCTGGGGAGGCAGGCCAGGGGGTGAAGGGTCTGGAACCGAGCCGGGCCAGCTCCTGCAGACGGAAGGGTGGAGAACATCTGAGATGTCTTTGTCCCCCCAAACTAGAGGGAAAGAGACAGAGAGCCTGCAGACACCCGGGAGTTTGCCAGCAGAGGAGCAGGAGGAGGGAGGGAAGATGCCCAGCGTGGGAGATGGGAGACGGGAGACGGAGTCCTGGGCCGAGATTTCAGCCATCTGGGGAGTCCGGGAATTTTAACCCTTTCCTGGGAAATGAAGGCTATGTGAAATATTGCTCCTCCTCAATTTGAAGGAAAGAGAGACAGACTGGGACCTCAGCTGTTAGGGAAAGAAGGCTGGGGGCAGATGATGGAGTGGCTTTTGGCTGGACTCTTCTTGTTAGCCATAGACTGAACCAGTCCTTCCTCCAAGAGAGACTGCATTTTAGGGGGATGCAATGGTGAGCCAAGAGACTCCTCCAGCAACTACCAGTTCAGGAACGAACAGAGGAAAGCAGAGGAGGGTGTGAGGATGCCCTCCGTCTTCAGAGAAGAAGAGAAGATGATCTCTGTTCTTGGACCCTCGGCCCCAGGGGAAAATGGGGGAGACTGTAGTCCCAAAATGAGACATTGGACTGCTGTTCCTGTTGGTCCTTGGCAAAGCATCCTTAAAGGAGCCCTATAAGCAGTCTCTGTCCATGCACGGTGGTGAGAGCACTGTGACATGGAGAGGAGAGTGTCACACTGGCCGGTGTGTCTGGGCAGCGCCACGTGTGACATGGAAACACAAGAGGTGGCAGCTGTGTTTCCTGGGGGTCTGTGGTGCAAGGGAGACTCCTCTCTCCCCTGATGGACTCAGGATTGATTATGTGGAAGGGTGAAGACTTGATTAAGGGTCCAAATGTGTCTTGCTGTGATTTGTTGGAGTTGGGTGGTGGGAGGAGGAATGTTTTGAAAGGTTTTAATTTCGAATTTTGTGTGGTTTTCTTTTTCCTTTTATTGTAGTAGTAGTAGTGTAATAAAGTTTTCCCCTTGTTATTAAGTTTGGCCTGCTTCGCTCTGTTCTAGATTGCATTTCACAGCATTTAATTGATAGGTTACATTTTCATGGGGGCGCTGGCATTGTGCCAGTGTCAAACCATGACAAATGTCTATTAGGAAACTGTTACTGTTTCAAATATTGTCATTTACGGTATTATAACATTGTTTTCAATTTCTAAAATCATGACTGATTCAGTCCCATGAGCTGAAACATGCTTAACGTCCTGTGATGCAATACAGCTACAATAGCTACAATTCAAAAAAGGAAAATGAAGAGGCATAAGGGGGACATTCTGAATTCAAATCACTGTATGGATGTGTTAAAGGTTGGCTTTTGTGATTAATTTGTAGCTGTTTAAATGATGACCCTTTACTGATACTTCAGTGATTTGGCAAGGGAAGGCAGTGTAATTACCAGTATTCACAGATCATTTAATTGGAAGTAAAGACAGTAAAATATGGACCAAAAATCCTGTAGGACATCTTTGACTCATATCAGGGGAAAATTTTATCGAATATTACTGTTTCAGATTGAATGAAGCTTGCATTTAAAGACTGAAAGTACATGAAATTGCTTGTGATATGGGAAATATATAAAAAGATCTGGATTTTATTAAGGAACTTCTAATGATTGATTAGATTCCAAT